CGCTCGGTCTCGACTGCCTCGCCATCCTGGGCCAGGGCGCTCCTCGCGCCCCCTCAGCGCGCCCAGGCGCCAGGACCCTGCGGGGGCGCAGCTGCTCGGGTGTCTCCCTCGGCGGTGCCTGGGCAGCTTCCTGCTCCGCGGCCCGCCCTGAACCCTTAAGGAAGTGCCGGTCAAGACGGAACGCCTTCCCGACGCCGAAGGAAAACTGAGGCTGCGGCTCTGCAAGCGCCGGTGCTCGTCGCCACCGCCTCCTGGGCGCTCTAGGCAGCGCGTCTCGGTGGTCGTCCCAGAGTTTACCCGCCCGGAACCGCGTCCTCGTCTCCAGCGAGGCCGTCAGAGAAGAGAGAATGAAAGTCTCTGTGTAAGAAATCCTCTCTGAGGTCCCAACGCTCTGATGTAAGCTTGACTGAAAAGCTGGCATAAAATTGACAAATCCAGAAGAAAGCAGAGTTTCCTGAGAGCCCCTAGAGCTCCAGCTGGATGGCCTTCCGTTTCTCTGGAAACATCAAAGAAGCCGAGCACACCACCATGCACTTCCTTGGAGGAGTAGTGGCCGCCCCTAGTCCTTGCCCACTCCAGCTGCCATTCTCTTTCCTCCCCATCAAGGCCGAACTACTTGAAAGGAAGCACTCCTGCTCTGACCCTAGTCCTCACCTTCCACTCATTCTTAACACACTGTAGGCAGCAAAATGTCAACAAAGTCATTGAGATTGCTCAAGTAGGTAAATATACTTAACATATTGGGAGCCTGGTTTCTCATGTCAAAGGAGTTACAAACATGGAAAAAAGAAAGGCCAAGATGAGTCCTGTAGTATTATATTGGAATCGAGGGTGTCAGAGTGAACTCAAGGTCACAATATCCATAGTTACTTGTAGAAATATAGATGTAGGTATGTAGGTGTATAGATGTATAAATACTTGATAAGTGGTGCAGCAATATTTTGATATCCAAATGGGAAAAAATTGACACAAGCACAAAAATTAATTCCTGGAGTTTAAACACTTAAGTCAACAAGCAAAACTTTCATATTTTTAGAAGAAAATCAGGAGCGTTTCTTTACACTCTTGAGTAAAGCAAGATTTCTTTAAAAATACACAAACTACACAAAAAGAGAAGGAAAAATAGTAAATTTGGCAACATTAAAATTTAAAACGATATCAAAAGGTACCAGAAACAAGTGGAAATAATAAAAAACTGACAGAAGCTATTTGCAACCCATATAATCAACAAGGACCAATACCAAGAATATATAATGAGCTTCTACAAATAAAAAAAACAACAAACAAAAATTGACAAGGCATATGCACAGGCAATTTATAGATTAGGAATCTGGAATGGCAGAACTCCAATTAAGCAAATTGTAATTCCCTCAAAAACTTTTTCATTCTTCCCCTTAGAAGACGTGTATTACAAAAAATAATATTTTGAATAATAAATCTATTTCATTAATAAAAAGTGTGGAAATGTTTTTTCTGTTATAGATGTACATAAAATCCTCAATTTTGCCTCTTAGCCCTCGAAATATAAAATATTTACTATTGGCATTTTATAGAAAACGTTTGCTGACTCCTATTTTAGGTCATAGCTTTCCTAAAGAACAAAAATATATTCTAAAATTTATTTTCCCATATGTTATCTGAAAGATATTCCATCAATCAATATTTGAAATTCCCATCAGATGCTAACTGAATTAATTTTATAGTTATCTCATGTAAAATTTAGATTAATTGGCCTACCAGTTTATAACTCCAAAAGAAAAAAAAATTACATAAAATATGACATTTTTAGAGAATTTTAGTTCTTACTTTATTGCGATATTTTCACTATACATGTGACCATTCACTTATAATACTCCTATTTGCCAGTTCCTAACTTAGCATAGTTTATGGCAAGGTACCATGCCAGTCCTCATCTTTCAATCACTTTACTAAAATTCTACTTACATCAAATGATCTAATTAATTTGGTCCTATTCCATTTAATTTTCCCATTTCATCGTTTAGAGTCCTAGCATCAGAAAAAAAAAAAAATCTTAAATTCTGACTTAGCTTTTCTGTCACTTTCCAAGTGTGTCAACTATCTGAGCAGGTCAAATTAACTATAGAGAATCCAGACGACGGTAATTCCTGTGTACATGTTCAGATTGGGGGAAATGATCTTGTATGAAATGTCTGCCATTTCAGAGAATGAACAAAGTCAGTGCAGAAAAAGTTCCCAAACAGCAAAGTTTCTGAAATTCACTGGATATGAAGACATCTAGAAGGCTGAGTTGGATGCTTCCGTTTCTGAGGTAGAAGAGTGTCTGAATTTAAGAATGAAAAATCATCACTCTGGCTCTCAGCTGGCAGGAGGAGCTGAGCCCAAACTTTTATTCCAACAGTTCTGGTTCTTGCTTCCAGTAGGAACAAGTGGGGTTGGGAAGTCATTAATAAACGTATTTCCACATTGAAGATGGTGGACAAGATCATTTCTATGGGATAAACGGGAGGGGCATGGGAGATAGGAGCCCTCCAACAACCCGTAAAGTTAAGGAGGGAGGAAGTGAGAATGGGAGGAGCGAAGGCTAAGTTACCAAGATGGTTAAAGGCAAATATCCAGATAGAGAGGAGCGTTTAACAGCAGAGGGATTCATTGGCGCGAATTCTTTTTATGTTCCCTCGGGGCTCGCGTCGGGAAATGTAAATCCTAACACAGGCGCAGCCAGGTCCCTAGACCCGCTCGAGACAAAGAGCGTCCAAAACCCCAGGGCGGCCTCGCGGCCCGCGCGCGCAGGGGGCGGTGCCTGGCAAACGGCCGG